TGTACGACATCATTTACCTCCACCTCGTAACGTTGTTCTGATTTTAAAGTGACATATCAACCTTTCTCATTTTGGCTTCGCATATCATCGATTCCCACTGTACGTGGAGTCTGCCATTTTTTTTCTATGCGAGCTCACGGGTTAATCATTGTCCTGCAGCTATCTTGAATCGCACGGCGCGCCACCTATTGGATATAGCCTGTGGGCATCGCAAATACCTCGGCTGCGAGCGTGGGTTCTCCGGACCCCGTGGAGCTCGGCTTCGTTTGGTGCCGTGAAGTCCAGACGATGGGACGGTGCCACCGCTGGCTCAGTGCATGCGCACCGCGTGCGACACAGTCCACGTCGTCGCATCGCCTGGAAGCACATGCGAGGCACGCCGTTTTGACGCGGCGGGCGCCATCTTTCATCGCCATTTGCTTCTTTGAATTTGTGTGCGCTGGGTAAATTCCTATGATGCTGAGTGAGAGACACTGGCAGGGTGTGTCGGTAGCAGCTGCAAGTAAACTTCTTGTGAAAATCGACTTTACATCGCTGCACCACCGCGGTGGTTCAGTGGCTAAGGTACTCGGCTGCTGACCCGCAGGTCGCCGGATCGAATGCCGGCTGGGGCGGCTGCATTTTCGATTGAGGCGGAAATATTCTAGGCCCCTGTGCTCAGATTTGGGTGCACCTAAAGAACCCCAGGTGCCCAGGTGGTCGAAATTTCCGGAGCCTTCAACTACACCGCGTCTAATAATCATATGATAGTTTTGGTACGTTAAACCCCACATATCAATCAGTGTACTCTACATCGCTTTTTATCCAGTGAACGACTCCATAGTGAGCGTCATTCATGGCACCGAAATCAATCACTGCCAAAGACTCATGGCCGAGTAACTGAGTTGAGTAACTGGCATTTGTTTTCGATGCACTTTAGCTGGACGTGAGGTCTTTCTTATTGCAATACTTGTCAAATCGGCTTCTTTCTGAACTGTTAAAAGATTGACCTCGTTTACGAAGTTATTTTGCATACTGTAAAGTGGAATAGTTCTTCTGTTCTCTGATGAAAAATTGGCAAGTTAATTTTTTGTACAATATCTCGGCAGCAAAACGCTCAGTTAAGAGCCTCATTGGTGATCCAACTCGGAACTAGACATGCTCATTAGCCTCCTAGAAAAAAGCATAGTATTTATGCAAAGAGTGTCTAGCAGTTCATACGACAAGCGGGCTAGAAAGGACGAGACAGAACGCTGAACTGTCAACAATTTATTTTTTGCAAAAGTTTTCGCTTTTTTACAGTCACCGATTGCACCTATCTTGGGTGCAACACATGATATTGCACAAGTAGGTCACACCACCGAAAAAAGACACAGCTCTCCTGTATCAGTGAGCGCAATAGGAAGGGTGCTGAAACCATCATCTTGTGATGAACATATCTTTTCTGCCTTTATGATTTCGCATTTTGAATGTGGGGTGAGTTCATCATGTTGCGACCATGGTGCAATCTTAAAAGTTTGCCTGCACCCACACGGGCTGCTATAAACAGATAACCATCCCTGTTTATACCGATCAACATTGTAAGATGGTCTTTCAGCCTCTCAATTAAAACGACCTGATTGGTTGACGTAGTATCCTCAACACGATAGCGGTAGCTATTAGAAAGCATTACAAGTGCATTTTTAAATTTCTGTGGTGTTCTGCAGTGCACACGAAAATGAGTTTGGAGGGTGGAACGGACGCGTGACTCAATTTTTGAAGGACCATGAAGACCACGTTCACATTAAATCCCTGTCCCACTTTCTTGAGATTGTGCGCTACCTTGTGCACGGAACTACAGTGAAAGCTTGTCTAGCGATGACAGGTTTGACTACGTTAGCATTGTGTTTTGCCTGAAGTTCCGGCACTCAGTTTTCAGCTATGATTTCCAGACTCAGCCTGGCCTCATCACGGGTTTTTAGAGCTTCTTAAGATTTGCCTTCAGTCGGCGCACCGTCAACGGCGATGGAAAACCTTTCTTCAAAAAGTAATTATAGGTATTGGTTGTTGCACTGCTCCTATCGTCAGTGGCTTGTTTGTAGGCAAATTAGACACATACTTTCATAAGATTTTACTAACACTTACGTGACGCGCGTTTTCGCATGCGTGGATGATTTTTTGATGAGCAAAGCTCTAATGGTGTGGCTTGTGCGTCCCCCGTTGTAGTAGTGCCTAATCTGTGGCACATACCCGCATACCAGTGGCACTTTCCCACCCTCGGGCACATATTAGCATGCTTGCGGGTTACGAAAAACGTAGCACGGTGTTGTTATCACGCTCTTGGCGTTAACAAATCGCTGACAGCAGAAATATGGTACTAATTCTTGCTTATTCCTTGGATTGTTCTCTGGATGGCGGTACTTTTAATGATGATTATACGATAAAAAAGAAGCGAGATGGTGGTACATAAAGCGTCCACAAGATGAACGGACAGATGCACGAAAGGGTGCATGAACGGACGAACGATCGCATGGACGAAAGCACGGACGAACTGTAGAACGCTTAGCCATACTCATCATCATTCATTTCATGGATATGATGTGATTTTTTATGAACAGGTATGGTACATTTTACAAGAGTGATTCTCTTGCCCCTTTAAACTTGATGTGAAGTGGTTTTAAACTTTTTGAGCTTACTCAAGAACTGTCTGAGAACGGTCAAATCATGTTTCTTGGGGTTTAGCTGTTCCTAAACAATGACCGCTCGTGCTTCATCTATGACCCACGTATAAATTCCGATTCACAAATAAAAAATGCCCAATCTAAAATTGAACAGCCTTTATCTTTCCCCCCGTACATTTTTCATTTCGCATGTGTGTATATACAAGCACACAAACGCGTCCGTGCATGTATGTTTTTGGGTATATCTACTGCATGTCCGTGCCTTCGAAATGTGCGTGCATATATCTGCTTTGAATAACATTTATTGCGAACGCAAACAAACAATTGTTTAGAAGGGCACGACCCTATTCATTAGAAACCTAATAATAAAGATCGGCGAAAGAAAAAAGAAGCATTTCTATTGTCAATATTAATAATATTTGCCTTATCTCAAGATACACTGGCCCATGCACAGCTCTGTGATATAATTTAGTTAATGACATGCGTGTTCAGCTTTTGATGGCACAACGAATCTCAGTAGGATACGTGCAATTGGCAGCTTAAGTCGCATCGTAGTTACCTCGAAAGCTGATAAGACCTTGCGTGTAGCCGTGTAGCAACGCAGCGCCGTAGTGTTAGCACCTTCCGGAGATACCCGTGCACATGATCGATTGCCATCTTCAACTTGAAAAAAAAAATGTGATGGCGTTCGCCGAAGAAGCTTGACGTTCACGCGCACGGCCCAACTATTTCTGCTGTTCCGCCAGTGAAGTCTTTTCTGCAGACGAACAGGAGGTGGACCGTGGCCAGAATTTTCCGCCTTCGACGAAGCAACGCAATCTGCCGCCACAATCACAAAGCGTCTTTTATAATCATATGGTGGTTACGGGACGTTAAAACCCACATAATCAATCAGTCAACAATCGCGAAACTTCGGCACAAAGCCATTCAAGAGAGCCACGTTGATCCTGTTGGGCGCAGCAATCTTTTTTTACCACTGTTGCCAGTACATAGAGCATTTTCTGGAGCTGCGCATAGAGCCCCGCCGCAGTGGTTTAGTGGCTAAGGTACTCGACTGCTTACCCACAGGCCGTGGAATTGACTGCCGGCGGCGGCGGCTGCATTTTCGATAGAGGCGGAATTGTTGTATCCCGTGTGCTCAGATTTGGGCGCACGTTATAGAACTCGGGGGGGTCAAAATTTTCGGATTTTTTCACTAAGGCGTCCCTCATAATCCTAGGGTGATTTTGGGACGTTAAACCCCACATATAAATTTGTTGTGAATAGAAAAACTTGTATGACAAAAGTTCGGTTTTTCTAGAATGCGCATGATGATGGAAACTCCCATTGTCACCTATCACTTTCATGTAATTGTGGAAGGTGCGGCCTGGATAAGCTTGCTGCATTATGCTAACCAGGTAATGAAATATCCAAGGTTTTTCGCAACAATGTAAAACATTGTAGGGGCGAAGCAACGTACTGAATGATATGTGGGGTTTAACGTCCCGAAACCTCCATATGATTATGAGAGATGCCGTAGTGTAGGACTCCAGAGATTTTGACCACCTGGGGTTCTTTAACGTGCACCCAAATCTGAGCACACGGGCCTACAACATTTTCGCCTCCATCAGAAATGCAGCCGCCGCAGGCGGGATTTGAACCCGCGACCTTCGGTTCAGCAGCCGAGTTCCTTAGCCACTAGACCACCACGGCGGGGCGAAGCGATGAACTGTAGAGGCCAGTTAGTTTTGTGTTGTTCGTTGTTCATTGTCCAGCACGGCACTTACAACGTACTCACTACACGACCTGATAGTGTTGATGGAAAACAATGGAAATCGAGACCAAACTTACTCTTTCTGCCATCACGGCACAGCACATGCAAAGTAGCAAGTAGCCCTTATGCGTCGACCATGACGCCGATGACAATGAAAAATAAGTACGTCCCAGGCCAAAAAGTCTTTTTCAACTATGATTGAATGAAATCGCGGAACTGCTTTCGCCACGCGAAGAGTATAGCAACAACACCGACAAAAAGATGCTACTTTGGAGGCAAGAGAGTCACATGGGGCGTCTAAGCATCTTCGCAGACAGCAAGTTACCTAGGAGGCAAAAGCACGGAAACCAGCGGCAAAACGGCAAAGGTGACATCAAGCCAACGAACAGGTACCCCGGAGTTAAAGTCGCATAAAGCGGCGACTCAGCGCGAGAAACACCTTTTATACACTCAGCACACACAATCACACATTTGCTTGTGCCTCTGGGCAGTGTGCCAAGTGATGTACAGTAAGAACGATCCTCGGTGCTACAGCCACTTCTTGGGATTGGCTGTGTGGACATTCGTAAATTGTTTCACAAGGAATGATATTGTCCCCACACTTTTTCTTATGGGCGAAATTTTTATTGCTTTACGGACACATATATGAGGCTACCCTTATTATGAATGGCTCGTATAGGGAGTGTCATTCTGCCGTTTTTGGGATGCACACGTGTTTTCGCCTGTGGCAAGTACAATTTCTTGGACAACCACCGTCTTCGTTGCACTGAAAAAAGCGAAACACTCTGAATCAGGGGAAAATTCACTAGAAACGCAGTGCACTCATTTTGTGTAATGACTTGTGCACGAAAAAGTAACCGGCTTATTTAAGGAGGCTCTTTATATATAAAGAATTGAAATTATTTCAGACACTGGAAAAATACGTGGTATCCTTACTGAGAGATGCCTCAAAATCATGTCAGTGTAATGTTCTAGCTTTAGCGTAGATAGCAGGCTACCATAAAAAGTTCTTCTTGAGTGGCACCAGTGCACTTTATTTTGTTCTATACATAAGAATAATCGATTTCTTAGATCCCCACGGAAGGAATACAACATGGCTACCAAACACGTGTCAGAAAATAAATTTGTTTGAGCAGCCGGAAGTGGACTGCTTATCACAATCCTCTATATGAGGTTGATATGTTGACTTGGACAACAATTTTATATAGTGGTCTCGAAATTCGATGAATCATTCACGATGTGATGGTGTGATGCACGTATTTACACAAGATCACAAATGCGAGAGTTCAGGGAACCAGCTGATCACTGTTCCTTCTTTTTCATGCGCCCCGCAGAATTGTAGCATCATAAAAGTCTCCAAGTTTAGCTTTTTTTAATTTGCAGCGCTGAGAGCGAACACATATGGTTGTAATAGTTTTCACATTTGGAAGGCTTCTCATAGCAAATGATTTGTAGGGCAGTAGGGCAACTTAGGTGAAGGAATATAGAATCGGCTGCGACGTTGTGGTGCTTTAAGCTTTCTTGCTGGTTCTGGCATAGCAGAAAGCGTACTTCAGAAAGTCATTGCCTTTTTTTATGTGCTAAGCACGAGTTTCTCTCTCGAACAAATTAAATTTAGTACAATAAAGAAAACTGTACCGCAATGTTCCAGAATCAACGTTCTCACTGTTCAGTGCTGAGCTACCAAACAAAATACACCACTTAAGAAAGAAACACCCTTAAACTATCATTAGGGACTTTTTTCCGGCCATAGGTATTTCCCAATTCCGACACAGACACATCACTGGGTTGCACACAAGTGTTCAATGACACTTACAAGCTTCGTAGGCTACATGTTATATAGATTGAAAAAAAAAGAAATTTATGACTTGACTGTACGAGACAAATGTGGGAAGTGCGGGATAGGTAATGACCTGCTCTTCGGTGAAACAAGCGAGCTGTGGGGCTCTAAAGGTACAGACTGTTTTGGCGTCCAGAATGGCAAAATACATCTACTTTTTGATGCAGAGCTGCCGTCTCCCCTCCATTTTTTTCTTCCCCAATTTGCTTTTCCTCACCAGTGCTCTACTACTGTCTACGATGCTATGTGCCACTTCACACTGTACCCTCTGCTTTCATCGCACTATAAATCCTACCATCTTCTTCATTCTCACGTCTCTTCGCCCTCCCTTTTGAATAACCATAACACCACTTTGTAAAGTTCTCTCACTGGACACCGCTAAATCTACTGAAAGTCGAAAAAAAATGAGGGACCCTTAAGCTTCAACTTTAAGAGTTCAACGCGAAGGCGTTATTCAGTCCTTTGTGCGTACTTCAAATTCTAAGTACACATATTCTTTTTTTAACTTGCTATGCGCCCACTACGTCACCTTAAGAGAATGGGCGCAGTAAAGTGTGTGCCTTGTGTACTAGTTGACCACTTTTCAACCTAGAAGTCATCATCATGATCATGTGTTCTGACAGCCGACTGGCATTCGCGCTTGCATTACGCATTATTACCACAACATTTCATGTTGCATTGTGAACCTTGTTTGCAGGACATGTTTGTTTGTGAAGCATTAAAGCTACTTTCACTACATTTCGAAGCAGATGAAGGTATTTTCATTGCAGTACGAAGCAGAGTTGTGGCTGTGTTGTAAATCAACTGCTTGCCACACAAATGACCCGGCTTTGTTCCGCACTCGTACGAAAAGTTTTTCATTATCATTTACATGTTTCCTAACTTTTCTTTTACAGACAAGATGATTTTTCGCTCACAACCTATGACGCTGAGAGGAATGTCAGAGTTTCTACAAAACAGCCTCTTTAAAGGACTCTGAAATAATTTTTAGGTGACCTATAAATGCACTCTCTAAAAACCATTTACCCACAAATTCAGTGCCGAAAATTTTCAAAAAACCGTCTAGTTGGAGCGGAGTTACAAAGGTTTGTCGCGCGCTGCAATCACAATCTTCTTTCTCTCGTTCCAATGAAAGCGCTGCAGGCTAAGCGGGGAGTAGACACGGACAAAACCAATGCGTCACGCGCACCTCGTGCGCGTGAAGCATTCTTATCAGCGAACGGTTCTTATCAGTGTGACATGTACTTCTCACCGAATGGTTGATAAAACAGTCCTACGAGTAACTTTTAAGGTTCCTCCTTCATTTGTCGAGAGAAGAGAAAGCAATTTTAAGCTGATTTTGATCACTGCTCGTGAATTGCTGGCTGCGTGATGCTCACTAATATTTGGCTGGCATATTCTCGGGAGCCTCCACTACCAATATGTAGCGTTTAGTGGCCATACTCAAAAAGTGTTCTTGGACCCATGTATCACTCTGGCAGTCAAAACTACGACAATGAAAACTACACGCGTATGTCAGTAGAACGAACTCACGAAAGCAATGCCGCGATAAACGTACTTACCCATACGCTTATAAGCTTTTCTTTTCTATTTTCTTCCTCCTCGCTTACATCCTCGTACTCGATCTAAAATGTTAGAGTGTACAAAAACCACAAAGAATTACCATGCTTTTGTAAAGATGTTATTAACACAAATTTTGTTTATTCACCACTGAGCTCCATCAGCCACGGTGCGGGTGATGGGGCTCATCGCAAGTGTGTAATTTACAATGCGAGTTTATAAGTTTTAGAATTCCATTGAGAATTCCTGCAACGTTCATTAGAGGTTCTTAATTTAAGGTTTCTGGAAGACAGAGGTGCGGTAAATCACCTACCAGCTTTTGTAATTAAGCTTTTTTTTGCTATTGAAACAGCCTGCCCTTATGTAAATGGTTATCCATAACGTCTGTGCAGCTGTATATTGGATAATTAACTCTGAGGTTTCTTTTTTTCTTTTTTGTCTTATTTCATTTATTGCTGTTCCTTTTTTCGGTCAGCCAAACAGGAGATGCTAAATAACTAAGAGGAATATCTCGGTTACTAAGTCACAGCTACTACAACGACCTTAACATGTTACCCGTCGGACAAAACTGGACCTACATATCTTCATGGGAGAATATATTCATTGTCTGATAAGCTTACAGAAACAATCGGTAGCGGTAGGCAGAGTGCGCACACATTTGTTTCTGTGTATGTGGTTGTAGATGCAAAGTCCTGGTCCAGGCAGGTGGCCATTAGTATAAGGGTTCTACGATGCGCAGTTTAGAATATTTCGTACCTTCAATGTTTGAAGAAAGCTTCAGACGAAATGATTTATGCTATACGCGTTATCTTAGTCATCTTTCGGGAGAGTAGACGAAGCTCTCATTTTCTTTTCTACTAACACGTCAAATCGCATTGTCCCGTCACATCCCTCAATTGTGCGTGGAATGCAGAAAATAAACATGGTTTGTCTCTCCTCATAACAATCGACATTCCACGAGAGTAAAATGAGCCCTTACATAGGTAATTTCATGTTTACTGAATAGAGATATGGAAGAGTTGACACAACGTACATTGGTGCTTCCCAGATATTGCACCGCTGTATGTGAATTCACCCAACTTTACGCTTGGTGGCACATCTCCAACGCGACCCCTAACGTATATGGCAAATAACCAAACAAACAATTATGTTAGCTTCAGATGTTAATGTCTCCAATGTAATCAGAAAAAAGAAGCGTGAAAGTCAGAAGAGGGACGCAGATTGAACACAGTACTTGTGGTTATGTCGTGATCCCACGGAATATTACAGAGTGACATAACACACCCACGTGTAGGAAAATATTACGTGTCTTAGGATATCCTGCATAGCCTTGATACAGTGATGATAAAGTAGTGCCCCTTCCCGCTCGTACCGTTTCCATATAAATACCACTTTTGTACCAAAAAATATTAGTTCCTTTAACACCAAGCGCATCGCAACGCCACAGCCAGACCACCAAACAATTCAAAACCGACCCAGACACACCTCATACGGACGTGGTCCACTGCAGCATACATGGCTTTTCCCTGCCTACTGTTGGTTCGGCAGACAGCCCTGGTTCATCGCCTGTGCTTCTGTCCAGGTGAACTCGGCGAGCACGCGGAATCCTTCGTGGTAGCACTCGCTATCAAAACCAGAGAAGTTACGAGACAGAACTCTTGTATTCTCACAGACTTTCGATTAGCCTGTCGTTATTTGGCGTGCGCCTGCTTGCGTCAATAACCTCTTAGGTGTGACACTAGACCAAGAACACGACCTCATATGTGGTTCCCCGCAGATATAGGAGTTATTAAGTAATGATAGAGTGGACAGTGCAGCTCGAGCTATTACCATTACCCACCCATAGACTCTCCCTCGTCCAGATACCCGTCTGCTAAAGGGGGCTCCCCACACCCCTACGAAATTTTAGACTACCAGTGTAGGCAACGAACGTGACACTCCCCCTCCCCAATCGACTGAGCTTAAAATAGGGCATGAGTGGCGCGGCCTGCAAACGAATACATATCTCCACTTGTGGTTTAAAACGTGCGAACCACCCAACCGCATGCATCGCTTCTTTCCCGTGTTGTGGAAGACAGCTAATACTTTCTCACATTACATGAAAATTTGAGTTATGGCCATGAAAATTCACCATGCCTCAGATTCTGGCGTCAAAGTTCAAGACGAAGCAGTACTCGCCAGTGAGGAAAAGGAGACCCAAGTAGCGCCTTTGGGTCAGGCGCGCCAGGCCACTGATGCTATTGGAGCCCTGGAGTAGAAGATCCACCTACAAGATTCCTACCCTTATTCTTTTTTTTTTTAATGGGAAAGCTTCTTGAGGTTGAGGCTTGTCCGTTGTCGCGTCAGAGTCAGTCACTAGCACTCAAGCGCGAACTTGATAGCTCTCGCTGCACTCGAAGTTGCCACTAAACATGCACCTTCTCTCTCTCTTGAGAATCGACATCCTGCGCGCTTCGATAATATCACTATGACCGAAGAAAACAACGCGGTGGAGCGGAGGGCCCACAAGGTGGTTGAAGCACGGAAGTGGAGGTCGCACGCCTGAGGCTTTGTCGGTAAGGGATGCTGCAGCCAAGCCCCTCAAGCCATTGCTACCTGAGGTTGGTGGCACCGATGCGTGCCTTAAGTGCGAGTTTCTACATATCAGTTTCTGCCACAGCTGCAAGGTTCTTGACCACTTGTGGTTCGATAACAATCTCCAGCAACAGAAACGAGCAATTGTACGTCAACGCTATCGCTATTCTGCAGTGGAAGTTTGGCTCCAGCAGTCATGAAGATCACAGTGAGTGCACGGTGTGCTCTACTTGCGAAGACACTTTGGTGACGGGAACAGCCACCGCGATTAGCGCCATTTCGTCCACTCATCGTTTCCCGGCAGAGATTTCTCCATTCACCACTCACTTCGGAATTATGGCGAGCTGTTTCTGTAATAAAAGTTTTTCCGTTGCATTTACACATCATAATCGTATTATATTGAACGCTGACTGCGCCGTATCACTCTTGTTGGGTGGCAGCGATTCTTTTCCGCGGTAACGCACGCGAGGAACACGGTTTTACAGCCAGGCCAGGCCGGCACGCATCGCAGGGCTAATTCTGGCTTGCATGGAAGCTCTAGCTACTCCATCGTTTGGACATAAATCGCCACTTCACGGTGTAGTAGGACACTTTGAAAATTTCACTTCTATAATACACGTGCCGAATAGCGCGGACGTAGTTTCACACGTTTTGCAGGCGCGAATCGCGGAGGTGATAGTGATGATAAATCAGTTAAATTCACAACTCCAAGATGGTGACACCTGCTCGCTGACCAAGAGAACAGTGCAATGAAAGTGTGATAAAAAGCGCGTTTGTGAAGTCGCCACAGTTTGTGGCAGCAGCGCAGCGCATAGCGTCTTCGATATTTGTGGCTGCGAACCAACAAGTCGGTATCTCGATGACGGAGCTCCTTTGACACCGCGTCACTGAGGTGGACCACGGGGTTTATTTGTCACGTTTATTTGCGTTGATTATTAACACGACAGGGTTAACAATAAACGCCAAGCTAAGAGTTCATTAGCGGAATTTCATTGTACATGGACTGCACCATAGCAAACAAGCACGTTGATTTAAGTGTGCGCAGTAGCACTTTCAATATTGAAAACAGGACACTTTTGATTATACCTGTCTCTCCATGTGAAGGTGGAGTTCATCGAAGGAAGCTTCGAGAATAAAGAAAGGTGAGTGGGGTACGCTTGTGCTATGAACACCTTTGATTCCGTGTAATATAACATGTTATTATTACCCGCAAGTGTGAATGGGACAGCAGGCGCTCGAGGTATTGGTTATTTAAAGCAGAGAAAACGCCAAGGTAGTGGCGTGTGTGGTGTTTAGAAAATTTATTCGTGTTTAGATTTTTCACTCCGAGCGGACTTTTGATGGAGGCGGACATGCTTGAAGCCCATCTTTTTATCTTTAGGTGGACGTTGAAAAACTCCTGCTGGTCGAAATTTCCGGGTACATCCGCCATGAAGTCTCTCATAATTACACCATGGTTTTGGGAAGTAAACCCGAGGTACTATTTTTATTTGGAGTTTAACGTGAAAAAAACACGATATAATTTTGATAGCCACCATAGTGGAGGGTTCCAGATATTTCGACAACCTTGAGTTCTTTACATGCACCTAAATCTAAGTAGACGGGCCTCAAAGATTTTCGTTTCTGTCGAAACTGCGGCCACCACTGCCACCAGGACTCTATTTCATGACCTTAGAATTAGTAGTCGAGTTCAATGACCACTACAACAATGCGGCGGGGCTATTATTACGCTTATTTTATATTATGATCTTGTCATCGAGCACCCAAATACAATTGAGAACGTCGTCGCCCCAGAGCAACGCCTGAACCCGCTCCATTCCATGAGCCTTCGACATGCCTCCTGCGACGCTCGCTTTACTGGAGAGCAGACATTGCGAACCCTTATCTGCTCTATTGCCAGAAAGGAACTGCAGGGCCTTGTTTCCGCGCAACCCAATTATTTCGTCTGTCTGCACTCCTCTTCCGAACTTGCGTGAGATTATCAAAGAACAACTGGCATTGATGACAAGGGTCGCAAACGCCCTGTATTTCGTGTCCTTTTTGTGCGCCTTCGTACGGAGAAGTAGAATCACGGGCTCCTGCACCAGTTGCGACTGTGCCTCGGACGTTGGATGTGACCGTTTGGCTGGATGTCAGTGCAGGCGCCAAGCCACCCGACTCTTCATTACGATCTCCGCACCCCGTCTGCTTATACTGGGGCATAAGGGGTCACATATACCGTTTTCGCCACCACCATCCACAGGACCAACGACGTGGCTATTCCGCTCGCGAAACAGACCTCGCCCCAAGACCTGATGCCTACGTTCCCAAACCGTATTCGTTCTCCTCACGTCGGTTTCCCTTCCCTCTACGATGTCAAGCAGTGCCTCGTCATCTCATTCCATCTCACCGGCATTCTCTGTCATTTCGGCGTACGTCATGACCCCTGCTTCCCGCTCTAATCTCTCGGGATAGCCACTCGGAAAACTAGAAGGTGCAGCTTTTTGAGGAG